AGCCAAAATCATAGTTTCAGAGCAGAAAGTCTCAAACTAAACCAAAATCTGGAAGCCAAGAAAAGTAGGAAGAACTTTGTGTTATTTAGATTGAGACATGAACATGACAATAACCTTCAAAATGGCACCCTATGATCTTAGATTTCACCTCCATGCCTGCTGTTTTCCTGTTGTTGAAATATTGTGTATTGTGCATATTTTCACTGTAATCATTCACTGACTTTTAGCTGGGTCATTATTGCATTCTATTCTATATTATATGTCAGTACAAGAACAAGAGAGGCTGCACTCTGCTATTGAGTTATTGGGTCAATAACCACACAGAGATCTTTGTGCACATTTTCCCCACTTTGGATATAAAGTAAATCTAGACCTAATTCTTTCATCTATTTCTCCTAACTTATAATGCTGAAAACAGACATTACTATTAGTCTTCTCATTCTTTCCAACATGATTCCTGATTTGATTTGACATTTCCTTCAGCACCTAGGACAGTTCCCAGCAGGCACTAAGGTTCCATCAGTTCACTGAGTTGAAGAACTTGTATGATAGAATTTATGGAAAGATCTCTAAATTAGTTAAGGAATGTTACTCAGTTTTCTGTCATATGTTTTCCTTTAGTTCTAAAAGACTGGTGATCTTTTGCTATGGTAGTTGTTATGGGGTAAGCAAAAACATGAAAATTATATTTGGGGAAATCTATTCAACCAATTATTGAGAATGAACTTTTTCAACAGATACACTAGATTAATTATTATCTCCTCTTTTTGAGAAATGTTACCACTCATAGGCAAATAAACTAAACACAATAAAGTGTAAGGACAGAGAAGAATAGTGAGTTTGTTCAGACCATAGCATTGTCCAAACCTGCCAGTGGGATACTTTTTTTTGCAGCCTTAGATAGAAGATAAACTGTTAAAACAAAATATTGTCTATGTATTCTGATTCTCAAAAAAAATAAATAAAAGTGGATAATAAAATCCCTGGGTGTCATGACTTTGACAAATTTATTGGCTGGATAAAAATGTCTAACATAAAATATGAAAATTAAGGAGTGATTTCTTATGTATGAGAAAGGGCAAACAAAAACAAGAAAACCTTATTATCTGTCCCAAACTTCTAGGATCCTAAGGATGATATAGAAAAGAGACATGAAACATTTGACTAAAATTAACCATTAAAAAAGTTCGCATGCTTTCTATTTGAAAAACAGCAAAATCTCATTTTGTGAATTTTAAAATTTCGTTATTGAAGTTTTATCATTTCCAAACTATTTTCCATAGTGCCATAATATTAGAAAGCACATTCTTGCTAGAGGCCATGTTCCCCACATCAGTCATGAACTGTCAGTAGCTTTTACCATTTGCCATTCTTTCTGTTTCAGCATCAGTAATCCAGTAATTTTTTTATATTAAACAATATGTCTTTGGATCTGTTACCAACCCCGAGAGGAACCAAGTGAGACTGCCCTACGTTGGACATGCTTATTACTTAGATGATTTGAGCTTATAAATTTAAAGCTTCAAGACGGACATCCTGCAATAGAAGGAAAAAGCCGGTATAGCCTAGTGATAGGGGACAGACCAGATGCTTAGGGCTTGCTAGAAGTTTAAGTGTCAAAATATTTAAGCATTAAAAAAGTCTTTCATGTAAGGAACTTCAAAACCTGTCAAAACTGCACTGCTAATGGCTCTATAATAAAACATGTCCCTGAGCACAAAAGTGGAGGCAAGAAAGAGTTAAAGGTTTTACATCTGCAAGGAAGAATATTTCTATTGGGACACAAGTAGCATAAGATGGTGTGAGGGGGAAGAAAAAAAAAGAGAGAGAGAAATGTGTTACAGAGGATGGGGTAGAGAGAGGTGATGGGAGGGGAGGGGAGGGGAGGGGAGGGGAGGTAGGAAGGGCAGCAGAATACAACAGACTCTAGTATGGCAGTATGCATAAACGTGGCTGTATAACCAATGTGATCCTGCAATCTGTACATGTGGAAAAATAAGAATTCATACCCCATTTGAATCAAATGTATGATATGTCAAGATCATTGTAATGTTTTGAGCAACTAATATAAAAAAAGCACCTATCACACGGTATACAATTGGTTAAACAGAACTTGCCTCTTGTTGCAGACTGTTTCTGCCCACCCTCAATTTATAGTTCAGATTTTAAACTTAGTGTGATGGTATTAGGAGGTAGGGTCTGTGGGAGGTAAGGAGGTGAAGGGAGGGAAGACTTTATGCATGCAATTAGTGACTAACAAAGGGGCCCCAGAGAGCTCACCAGTCTCCCTTCCACATGTGAGAATTCAAGGCAAGAATTCATCTGTGTGTAACACAGAAGAGGTCCCTCACCAGTTCCAAGCCATTCTGGCATCCTGATCTTCAGATTATGAAGAGTAATTTCTGTTGTTTATAAGCCATCTAATCTATGGTAGTTTACTATAGCAACCTAAAATGCATAATGCCTCTGACTTGAATATTTCAAACCTCTAAATCTTAATTTAACATTATGTGGGTTATATCCTATTACCCAGGAATCTATAGCTTCATCTTGAGAATGGGCAAAAGTTATTCACACCTGCAATGAACATTTATCTTAAATCTACTTTATGTCAATTACCATACAGAATTTTTTTAAAAATACATGTTTCTGTTTTTTGACCAGATATATTGCAAATATGCCATCATTACCAGTTTGGCATATTGTAGTACAGGTATTTAAACAACTCTTCCAAATCTCAAGAGTTTTTAGGTAGCTAAGGATTCAGGAAAATGAACAACATTTAGATTACAGGATTACAAATAAATGAATATCTAAAGCGAAGAATAATGAGAAATGCATGGAAACTAGCCAGAGATCTGAAGCTGGAGAACTGAAAGATCAAACTACTCTTCTCTAAAGGAAGATAGGAAAAAAAGTAGAGTTGAAAGTTTAAATGAAAACAGAAAAAAAAATCATTTTTTCCAAATGGCAAAAAATAAAGAAAAGCAAGTGTTCTATAAATTATTTTCCCTGATGCTAATAAAATATCTAATGTATGTTCATCACATAAAGAAATGTGCAAAGACATGTTCAGGAAAGCTAATTTATAATTAGTTCATAGATGCTCAGTTTGGGGGAATATGTCAGATCTACCCAAAGTGCTATTCTGGAGAGAGAAAACCACACTTCCCACTTCATCCCCACTGGAGGAAAGGAAGGAGCAAGATCTTGAGGAGAGGTATAGTTTTAATATTGCTAAGTCTGTGATAATTCTGTTTTAATCCTTGGAGTTGAGACCCACATGATCAGTTGGTGATTCACTGAGCCTCTGCAGAGGACAGACCACATTTATGGAAAAAAAAAAAAAGTCACCTCTAAAGACACTCCTATTCCTACAGCGGGAGATTTCTAATTGGATAGAGCTCCCATTCCCATATCAGACTTACTTGGAAGTGCTGTCTTCCTCAAAGTCCACTGAACCCCAGGAGTGAGGGGTGAGGTCCACAAAGAAGAGGAGGTTAGTTCAGGATTTTCACTTTCACAGAGGAAAGTGAAACTTTCACTATAACTTCACTCTAGCTTGGGAGCCAGTAATCTTAAAGAGGTCTTCATATATCTCACAAGAAAATTTTCTAATTCCTGCGTAAATTTCTTTCTACTGGCGAAAGACAGTAAAATCATTAAAGCCCAGAGTGAGATCTCAGAAGGGGCCTCTTGGTTTGGTAGAGCTGTCTGTATTTCAGTGTCCAGGTCAGGGGACCAATGAGATGTGAGAGAGCCACTGTAATGTTGTTTCTCAAGTCCTATTGCCAAACACTGCTACAGAAGAGACCAGTCGCTGGGGGGCTGTGAGGGAGAGGTAGGTGAGTAGCATTTCCATATCATCAGTATGTTTCAGACCTGTAAGAGAATGGCCAGAGAAGAGGGAGCACTAAGAATGGCCACTGGCTCTTAAGAACCCCTGTTAGGAGTTTTACCCCTGCAGGTAAAGCCTTCCTGCTTTGTCAATGCCAAAGGATAGAAGTGGCAAGGAAGAAAGCAAAGAGGCCCTACATCTCTGCACTGACAGAGGCAAAGGACTCCTTGTGGCCTCTCAGGTGTTGGAGAGGAGGCCTGGGAAACTTGGAATCCCTGACTCCTTACTGGCTGCTCAGTTATACCTCAGTTTAACAGCTCCCCACCCTTCCCAAGTCATCCCAGAAAAATGCCCCAACTACTCTTAACATGGAGCCTGCATTATGGGGCACCTGACTAATGACCAAGTGTTCACAAGTGCCCATTTCTTACTCTCTGCTTTGTGCTGACCAAACTCAAATCAGGCAGCTTCTCCACACAGGCCCTTGAAATTTAGCCCCAGACTCCCAATCTGAGCAAGCACTAAAATGGGGAACAGTTGCCCTTGTCACTTGCTCCCCCAAATTCTTGGAACACGGATACATTTCTTGTTAAACCACGCCCTGGCCAATGAGTTTATTCCCTTCATGTGCCCCACTTTCTCCTGTGGCTACTCCCCTTACCTAATAGGAAACAACAAATCAAAAACTCTGATTTTCAGTTTGGTTTTGGGAGGCTTGTGGATTTATTCACTATGATAATAGTCGTTCTAATTAAAGTCTTTCCCTATCTTATGTAAGTCTGCATTTGTTTTTACTTGATATTGGTGTGCAGCTAAGAATGATCCCAAGTGAGTGTGAGCCTCCAAAGGTAAGGAATGAAAACTCAGGGCCCCTTGCATTTATCTTTTTGGGGAAAGGTAAAGAGGTCTGCGATGAATAGTTCTCTCTTAAACTTCAACTTTCTAAAGCGAAATGAATTTCGAAATGAAGTTTGAAGCTTGAGCTCTAGGAGTTCTGGCTGGGCAAGAAAATTGCTGGTTGGAAAACACCATTGTGCTCACTGCTGGGGCGAAGGGTGTGCTCAGAACAGTGTGGGGTGGAGACAGAGGAATGAGGGGTGGGATAGGCGGGGAAAGAAGTGGGAGGTACACCAGGAATTAGTAGAAACCGCGCTTCTGTGGGCGAACACCGGTGGGGGGTAGGGAGGAGGGTGGTCTTAGCCTCTGCACCCTGAGGTCACCAGCGGCGGCAGCCGTGGCTAGAGCAGCAAACAGCAACAGCGAGCGGGACGGAGTTAGGACCGCTCGGAGCGCCCAGGTCTCGAGGTAGTATAAGGTTTGCAATCCTTCCACTTGCTGGCAGTTGCAGAAGATCTCCTTTTTAAGTGAAACGTACATGCCACCCCTCCGAGGGCTGCGGCTTCCCTGGGCTGCTTCTTTGCTTCTCCCTTTTCTGGCCCTCGCGCTCACTCTTTAATTTGTCTGCGCCCCTAAGTTTGCCAAGAGCTCGCTTTCGGCTGGGAGAAGGGTCCCGGCCAGGCGCCGCGGGCGGGGGCTGGGGACCCGGGAACCGCAATCCAGAAGCATCGTGGGCTATGTATATTTCATCAAACGGACTTTGGGTGCGTCGCGTCTCGCAGCCATCAACACTATGTGCAGTGACATTTCTGACTTGAGTGGAGGAATGCGCGAAGGAAGCCCGGGCGAAATTGGTACTAGAGGATCTTCTTGGCGCCAATGCTAATTGTCCTGATTTATGTCCCTTCTGACTAAGCTCAACGTCTTCATCTGAAATAAAATGAAAGCGGTGCCAAGCGGGATAGAACCGCCTGGCCGCTGGTTCTGATCCCTGGGAATCAGGAAATCGTCCTGCAGCTTAAAAAAAAAAAAAAAGAAAAAAAAAAAGAAAAAAGAAAAAAGAAAAGAAAGAAATAGAAAAAAGAAAAAAAAATCCCTCAGTAAAAGTTTAAGGCGTGAAGTGGCAGAGGCAGCGGCGCGAGGAGGCGCGGAGAGCCGGCGAGCGGAGAACTGGGCTGGCAAGACCTCCGAAGGCTGCGATTTCATTATTAATATCACTATATTTTTGGAGGGAGAGGCACCTTTCTCATCCTCTCTTCCTCTCCGCCCACCCCTTCTCCCTCCCCCTCATCTACCTGTCAAAGTCACTGATCTTTTGCATTTCGGAAGAGGACGTCAACGGGAAGGAATTCCCCCTCTTGGTGCGGGCTCCAAGAGGGGGAGACGCGCTGCTGAGGCTCCCCACCGGGGCGCGAGGCGAAGGTAATTAAGCGGCCGGGAGTGGCGTACCGGCGTGGGTTCTGGGTCCGCAGAGTCCTCTCCCGCAGTCTGCCGGGCGCGATCTGGACCCCGGGGCTGTGGCGGCGGCAGCGGCGGCGGCAGCTCGGGTTCACACCCCCAGCCTTCCCGTTCCGCCCGCGCCCCAGGAGGAAGCTCCGCGGAGCTGCCGCCGCCCGCTGGTGCGCCGCCCGCGGGCTCCGCTGCTGCGGCCGCCGCCCGAGGCGGACCAGGCAGGGCAGGGCCGCCGCCCCGCGCCGTCGGCTCTGCTCCCGCCCGGCGCAAGGGCAAACGGGCCACACGGTAAGTGCTGCCGGTTTCCCTCTCCTCCTGCGACCCGAGCCTCTCGTCTTTGCCCCGCTCCCCGGGCTTCCTCCCTCCCTCTGGCCCCCCCAGTGCCATCCACAGGCGGGAGGGGAGACTCCGGGTGGGCGAGGAACTTTGGAAAGCGCCTTGAGGAGGCAGCGCGCGGAGCCTCTGTGCGCACACACAACCCGCACCCTCTCACACCCACACACAAGTCTTCCTGGGTGTGCGCCCCGAGCAGGTTACGTGTCTGTCTCTTGTCTCGGGAGCCCGGGCTCTGGGTCTGTGCCTCTACCCACAGCCTGACAACACACCGCGCTGTCTCTCACACACTTGACCACACACAACGCTCAGGAGGGCTATTCTTGTTCTCATTTTCTTTCTCCAATTGTCTTATTTGGGAGAAAGAAACTTGCCCCGATGCCAGCCCTGTGGAGCTGGTGGCTACACCGAGAGCTTTTGAACTCCCCTTCTTTTAATCTCCTTTATTGGTACGAGATTAAAGCACTACTATCCCACGTTGTGCAGCTGGGGAGAAAGGGAAATTGAAAAGGGAAAGACTAGGTGTAGGAATGCTGTTTGAAATCTTTTCTCAGACACTGGCATCACATTAATCAGTTGATGTATTCGGCAAGGGACATTGAGTTGCTCTCTGATATGAATCTGTGGATATCTATATATAATACAAATAATACCGAATATTATTGGGCCCAAAATAACCAATTAAGTGATTCATACAAGAGAAAACTTAGATAAAAAAAGAAACTGCGCCCTCTGCTGTTTATTTTGGTAACCTCACCAGGGCACCATTTTTTTTTTTTTTTTTTTTTCCAGAAATCCACTTAAGAGTTGGTTGTCATTTTTACAAGGCAAGAGGGGAAAATTCCTAGAGGAGGGATTTGAGAGCAACTTTATTTGGAAAAGTAGCAGGTTGAGTTCTTATTGTTGAATCAGGTGTAGATTTCTAGAGCATAGAGGCTTTTGTTTCCCCTATTCCACATCCTTCTCTTTGCCCAAGTTAAGAATGGAGCCACTCCTTATGATAACAGTTTGTCAATCTTTGGAATGGAAAATTCTGAGTAAGAGTCAGAATTTCACCAAACATATGGTGAATCTGGCAGTAGATTTTCTCTAGAAATAAGGCCTCATTTTAGGATTGAAAATACTAAAAGTTATTTTACAGGAATAAAAAAAAGTAAGATGTTTCCATCAAATTCATTCATTCAACTATGCTTAGTGGTTAGGATTGTTAGAAAGTTTTCTTTTTTCAGGGGAGGGTCAAGTTTTTTTTTAAAATTTGTCTAGCCTTTGAGGTGCATCTCTAACCTGTGAGAAAATCATCAAGCCCACATTTAATTGTTTTGAACTGTCACTTTGAATGCCTTACCTGCCCCCTTTTCACTTTGGCAAAGAAAAAAGAGCTCAGTAACTGTCCAGGATTATTTTTTGAAAAATGAACAACTTTCAGTTTTTTTCATTAAAATAAAATTTTGATCCCTGCTTGTGGATCATCACGTAAAGAAAAAAAAATGCACCAAGGTTTTCACATGCAGTGTTGTTCCAGCTTACATATAAAAGGGATATATTTTCTTTTTTGGTTGCCATAAAATGAAAGACATTTAATCACAAAAGGCCTGCATGGGGGCATTCAGAATTTCACATATCTAGGTGAATTCTATTTGATGATATTTCCTATTGTGTAATTTAAGAAGGGTAATCATGAAAATTTTGAAAAGAAGCAACTTGCTTTATTTGGACATAAAGCTGTTTTCCTATTAAGATTTTTGTTTTGTCAGCTTTCTCTGGCATTTGGGTTAAAATGATTCAGGTTTTTTTTTTTTTGGAAGAGACTAATGTATTTTGCAGTTTTCTTTTGTGTGTTTGAAACTGGTGCAAATATTGTCTTCACTTCCATTATTGTTCTGAAAAACATTAGGTGATATGTTAAAAAAAAAAAAAGTTAAAGCCTTACTTAGTTAGTTAATAAGTTTTCTCAATAAGGATTTGGAGACAGTTTTCAAGTGACCAGAACACCAAGTTACTTGGAAGGAAATAAAATTTCATACAACTTAGGAAACCAATTGTATTTCAGTATTGAAAAGTGTGTACATATGTGTGAATTGCAGTATATTATAGGTCAGTAAGTTACTTAGTATACTTTCAAAAATAATTTGTATTTTTATTATCCAGAGTTTGTTTCAAAACTTTAGATGGGTGTATTTGAGAAGTTGGCTCTCTGAACATTCCTGTATGAGAATAAAAAATTTATTGTTCATGTGGTAATTAAACAGATTTCTCCTAGGCTTAACTGATTCTGCAATAATTTTATTTATTATCCCATCCTTAGACATTCTGCAAAATGTGTGCTGATTTCTGTAATCAGTCTTCTCTTGGTGAAAATAGAGACCTTTTGATACTAAGGTGTGTTACTTGGTTTTTATTAAGAATCTCATGATAGGCAGTTGCTCATAATACCCAATCAAGTATGACTAGAATATGCCAATGATGTTTCAGTACATGGTAAATTCTTTATATTTGAGAGCAGTTAATAAAAAGACGCCTACATTTCCCATTAAGAATACTCAAAGATACCTTCTTCATGACAAGTATGTGCAAAGAGCATTCAATATATGTTAAAACATCTCATGTAATAAATCTCATTATGATCATATGGGAAGCTGCTAATTTTGAGAGGTTATAGAATTTGTGTCTTTTTTTCCTCTTATTTTTCACTCAATGGAGTCTGATTATAGTCAATTTTTCTTTTGTTCCTTTCCATTCAGAAACATGCATATTTATAAAATTCTTAATGTCTATATAGAATGAGTCAATAGCTGTCTATTTCAGGTGCCCCTGAAGAGCTGAATATTTATGGAATGAATAGCCTACTACTACCACCCCCACCTCCTAGTGAGATTATATAATAAAATGAATGCTGAAAGCTAGATAGAGTTAGTAGATTTACTGGCAATATTTTCCTCTCAGTTGATGAAATTGACAGTTGCTTTTAGAATAGAATACAATTGTTTATCATTTTAATTATTACTACTTTCATTAATATTTTGTGAGGATTTTTATTTTACTTTGTTTTTACCACTCTGAAGGAAGGGCCCGTGAAATGCCTTTTTACAAAGTGAATCCAAGGTGGAAAGGAATTAGATAGAATCTCAGAAAAATATATGTTCCATGTATGCAAAGCCATTTTATAGCCCATTTTAGCCTTGATCAATAATATCTATGAACTTGAGGGCTGTGCCATAATTTGGCATATTTTTATTGGCTTTCCATATTTACACACCAGAGTTCTATGGAGTACTCATGGCTTATTAACGGGTATTTTTTTTTTTTCTTTTATCAAAGAGGACCTCTTAGTCCTCAGTTCACAGGTAGAGATGATGGCATTATTTGATTACAGTGAGTTCCCAAGGTTGGCAAAGTAAGAACTAAAGCTGGGACAGCCCAGAGCTCTTTTGAAGCTATCCTTAGTTAGGCGATCCAGGCACTTGAGACAAATTCAAAAGCCACATTACTTGGCAATTAGTTCAGTTATGGGCCAGAAGGGATACCTTCAGTATATTAAGTCCCCAAATATGTCATTGACTGTCCTTCTCATAATCGGTTTGCCTAGCTATTTGCTATGATGACCTAGCTTTTAAGAAGCTATTGATATTTTTAACCTGGTGGAAAGCATGGCCAGATGGGAACCAGGGCCATTAGGTAATAGAGGTCATGGCGTAAATCATATTCTATTTGTACATCATTTTATTTTCTTTGAAAACTCCATAATTATGCTTCAATAACACATTCCTGATTTTCACAGAGGTTTTTTTTTTTTTTTTTTTTTTCCTTTGTGTGTCATGGAAGTTCATAGATTTAAATCCTCACTAATTTGAAGTTAAAATAATTTTCTTTGCTATGTGTGTGGCACTGAAAAGTAAGGAGACCCCGAAATGAAGGAAGTAAGAGAGGCTAAAAATGTAAAAATCAGAATTAAAAAAAAATCAAATAATTATTTAAAAAAACCAGCTCAGTGACCCTCTGTTCCTGATCTGTAATGTACTGTGGTCAATATCTTTTTCTGTGTCAATGGGAGCTCATTAAATGTAAATTCTGCAGACTAACTGAGCCATGCCATATTAGTGCTTGCCAAAGCTTGACATTTTTAATACATTAATAATATGTCTGTAATGTAATGGAAAACTATTAATCACAACTGGTTATATGCCAGAAATTTAAGCTATAATTGGCTGCTTCTTGTCAAGAATGTCTGTCGCACAGTCCTGCAACTGCCTAATATTCAAATATCTTGCACTCCTCTGCATTTTTCCTTGTCAGTTCTCTAAATTCGATCAATGGTGTAGTCCATAATTCTGTGTAATGACCATCATTATAATTCTGATATAATTTAATGAGAATTCGTTATATTGAGATTACTGTTGTATCAGGATACAGTAACAGGTCCACATACATTTCCTTAGTGTCCAAGTTTTTCATATACAAACGTGTGATCACTCTTTTATTTTGAAGTGGAAGTAAAGCAAAATGTGGATGAGGACAAACTAACCAAGAATAAATGGATTTAATGAATAATATTGGTTAAGAAAAGTGAAGACTAATCTCAGAGATCATTCAAATATATATTTGAAGTCATAATCTTGACATAGAATTATGAATTAACATATAATGCTCCCTCAGTTCAGATTCAAAACAGTTTCAGGTTTTCAAGACTATATCGTTCTTGATAAATAAATTGCTGTATATTTGAAAAGATGAATTGAAGTTAATAATTTCTGACCTAGTTGATTTTCACTGCTTCACTTATTTAATGTTCACTACCTTCACACTTTACAGTGTTTGTTTCTTCTTACAATAGTAAACATGGTTGAAAAATGCCTTCAGAAAATGTGGATATATATCATTTTAACGCCTTTTCAGATTATTAATTGTCAAAGTGTTGAACGTTTCTGAAAATATCAACTTAAAATTACTAATGAGTCTGAACAAAGCAGAAGGCTGTAGTAGCCACAACACATGCTCCTCTGTGATTCTGTTTCTTTTTAACTTAAGATTTCAAAATGTACTCAGCACAATATAGTTTTTACAATACAAGGAAGAGACAGATTCAAATCTTAGTTTATACGTGTTTAGACACATTGTTAATTATTGCTTCCTAGACCTCAAATATTCAACACTTTTCCTAATAGAAAATATCACAAATTGCAGCTGTATGATAACATTTTATGAATCGAATATAATGAAAATTGCACTTGCATCCATAAAGCAATTATTATAAATTACTTTGCTATGGAAACACAATTCAACCATCTGTTGGCATTTCATAGTCTCCGTGGCCTAGTTCATTTTAAAATGGTGCATTATTTAAATATAGTAAATTCCTTTATAAGATTGTTTGAAGATAGTGAACTCCCATATTTAAACTATTTAATGTGTATCATAGGGTCTATAGTGGATTTTCCAAAGCTGTAGAATTTTTTTGTCCTTTTTGAATCATTTAAGAAGTAGTTAATAATTTAGACTATGAATATGAAACAAATAATTAATAAAGTTCATTTGCTTTTAACACCTGGATTCAAATGTTAGCATTTGTTTACATTTAGATAGTGGTACCTAGAGAGAAAAGTTGCCAGTTAAACTCTTCAATGAGTTGTATCTGTAGTTAAGTAGGCTGCATTATCAGTTTACCAAAAGTATGTTTCAACGGTAATTTTTATTTTTTTCATAGAAATAGTGCCATATTATTCTGCTTCATGGCCTGTTAACTCACCCTCAGCTATTTTTATATGTGCATTTTAAATTGTGCATTTTACTACAGAGCTTTACTTTTAAAGCAGCGTATAATATTTGCCTTTGGGACAAATTCTCTTCTGTTACAGAAAATAACTGCAAATGCAGATGTAATGTCTATAAAAATATGTAAGAAAACAGAAAATTCTTATGAAAGGAAGATTTGCTCCTTGGTTTTATTTTTTATTTTTTTCAGAGAGCCAAGTTATCTTTATCAGTAAATGCAACTAAACAAAAGATGCTAAATTCTCCCAACATAATGAGCAAATCCAAAGGGACAGGCTTGTGCCAACAATGCTAGTTTTCACTCTGGCTAACAAAAGCTAAGAAATGTACAAGGAACTTGGAGATTCTTAGACTCTTTTTGCCAAGAGACAAAAGGAATACAAGTGGTTGTCATTTCTTTGTCATTGTTATAAAAGCATTTATTTCCCTCATTGTTTGCTTAGAAGACTTTCTAGCAGTGCGATATGTGAGAAATGTTTAAATCTAGCAGCTTGCTTTCAGTTTAGTTCAGATGGAAATAATTTTTGAAGCGAAAACCTGTAACTCACCTGGAACACACACATCTGTCTTTGCTAGGGAAGAGTTAAATCCTTCATATCAGATCTCCCCTATGTGAATGATTTCCCTGGTTTGCTCATTCTAGCAAAGCAGCTGAGTAAAGGTTATCCAGATTACACCAATTTGCTTGATATTGCATCAAACCTCCAAAATGTCAACATATCATACACTTCGTAATGCATTGACTCCGGGACAATAACTCTTACTCTTATTGTTTCTTAAAGGGTGTAGGTGCCAGAAGAAAAGGATGATTGATGGGAAACAGACACCGGATGATAGACGCACATCGTTTTGCTTCCGATACTGATATCTCAGCGGTGCCTGGGCAGCCCTTGTGAACCGTGAGCATTGAGGATCACTCAGGGTTATCGGATGTACAATGGGAGAGCCATCACTTTGCTAAATTATTATCTGCTATTGGACATCTTTTACAAAAACCAAACTTGATATGTTCTAGGACGACGAAAATGCTCCAAGTTGCTGTTAATGCCTAACACACAAGTATGTTAGGCTTCCACCAAAGTCCTCAATATACCTGAACACGCACAGTATCTTAATCCTTCACATCTGATTTTGGATTCTGCTTTTGAGGTCTGATCCTCTTTTTTCTTTTCTTTTCTTTTCTTTCTTTTTAAAAATATACAGACCTATCTACATAAAGATATACATATATATATATATATATATATACACACAAATATACATATATATATAAACAAATGTATATGTAAAATAGACAAAGATTACAGATAAATCACGAAGATTGCAAAGAATTTAGAAATGTATTTGTCAAGATTCCTGTCCATTCATGCCCTTTGGGTTACAGTGTCTTCAGTGATGCAGCCCTACCCTTTGGTGTGGGGACATTATGATGTGTGTAAGACTCAGATTTACACAGAAGAAGGTAAAGTTTGGGATTACATGGCCTGTCAGCCAGAATCCACGGACATGACAAAATACCTGAAAGTGAAACTGGATCCTCCGGATATTACCTGTGGAGACCCTCCTGAGTCCTTCTGTGCAATGGTGAGGTAACCCTTCTGAGTATTTCCCCTAAAGGGGTTGAATCGCATATGAATATGAATGTGGTGAATGTGAAGGCTCCTTTCATGTAGAGCTGAATCTGCAGGTGGCAGGTTTTGTTACCTGGCTAGTCATTCTCTGTGGAGGTTTGAACTACCTGAAGTTACATTTGCACAGTATAATTGATGCACTAGAACTTTTCTACTTTCAATTGAAGGTTAAGTTTCAGATTGGAGTTTGGGAATATGAGTAGATCATATGTGTTATGTTAAGGAGAAAATCCACTGGCAAACTTTAAAAAATTGCAAAGGTTTCTTAACATGCATATATGAAGCCAGCCCCAGGTTCCATGATTCCAGGTTAGATTCCTTCTCCTGGTTTCCTTCATTAGAAAGCAGCTATGATTTGGAAGTCCTTGGTTAGGAGACCAGTGAGAGGAAAAGCAGAGGAGAGAGGGACTAAAGTCTCCCAAGATGCTTTTTCAGAAAAGCCTTATTTGCCAACTCATGCAGTCCTTTATCATCTAGGATCACAGTTTTCTGTGCTTGTTGGAGATAATATTTGCTGAAAATAATGACCTGGGTCATACAAATTCAGATACTCTCCTTTTGATAAGCAAAGTTACAAAAATTTATTGTTCTTATGTGTCTTTTTTTTTTCTGGGTGGAAAGTTAAATACTATGTGAAAAGATAGCTTTGGAATAAAACACTGAGTTTCAACTAAGGACATAGCTGAAAATATACCTATAAAGTAGTAATGAAGAGCTTGGTGATTAAAATGGTGTCAGTTAATGTGCCAAGGAATTCAGACACTGTGTTCATTTCTTTTAGGTGGCTGTTTTTTATTATAGACCGTCTTTGTTTGATACAGGAGCTGTGATCCTATTTTTCTCCATGTAACAGATAGAATCCTATGGCAGATTTTAATAGTATTCTTACCTGACTTTATTATCTTGAACCTGGCCTGGCATTTTCAGGATAGTGAAACTATTAATCAAAGTAGCATCTGCTCACAGTCCCCAGTGAGTTAAATTAGCATAAGATCATCTTAGCCTGAGCACTATAGAAAAGGTTTTGTAACAGGAAACAATTTTGAGCAATAAAGAGTGTTTTCACCTAAAAGCTAAGGGCTTGCCATTTTTCAGAAGTGCCTTTGGGGACTGGTTTGAATTATAGTCTAAACCTGATTTTGTGGAGAGTGAGAAAAAGAGCTTGGCTATTAGGTGTCACTATGACTAAAGTGCCCTGAAAGACTAAATATTTCAAAAAGAGGACCCGTCTCTTTGGCAAACAGGTATGTGCTTGGCAAAGAAGTTATATTTTAGAAACCATAGGCTTCTGGAGAAGTATATTCAAACATGTTAATAAAACTATAATAAATCTGTAAAAAAAGCAGGTACATGTTGACTTTATATAAGGTCTTTAATAATTTCTCATGAAAGGTCAAATATAAGATCTCATTTCAAATCTGGGATGAAATTGCTATTCAGGTGATAGGTTGTGCAATCTTCTACTCCTTCTAGCAGAGGACAACTTCTGGGCCAACTCTTCATATTATTAAGAACACTGTAGCTCTATATATTGGTTTGCATGACACTTATAACAATACGCCTTTTCTAGCATTGTTTAATAATTTATAGATCCAAGTAAAATAGAAAAATATCTCTTTTAGGGTGTCATTTCTGCTTGCACAAGTCCTGTATGATGTGTTCAAGGTATGATTTATATGTGCAGTTTCCCTGGTCTCAGCCTCTGGCCAGAGTGCTTGCTCAGCACTGCTCCTGTCCATCATGTTGAAGGTATACCTAGCATGGTGTCTGCAGCATGCCTCTTTCTCCCATTATAAGAGGAAAGGGCACATTAACAGGACTTCCTTTGCTGCCTTTCAAAGGGACATGGCCTAAGTTTCTTAAACAAGATAATTCCTACCAGTCTACTGGCTAAGTGATGTTGGAGGCCAAATGGGGGGGAAAAAAAAGAATTAAAATGATGTCCTTCAGCTGGCATTCAGGAAAGTAAGAGGAATACTTTGCATCTGTACAGAAAACTCCACAGAATAGTGTCAAAAGCCTTGGTGGATTTAAACTTGTCATTGAGTTTTATAGTTTTCCAAGGGAGAGTGTAAGGTTTGTGAGATGTTACCTATCAATCCTTAATTTGTAGTCCTTAATAAGCATATGATTGGCTTAGTAGATTAAATGATCTTGCCTTTAAATTGCACACTTTAGGACTATTTGTATGCATATTACATGCCAAGTCAATGATAATGGCCTAGTATAACAATACTTCTATGTTTTGGATTTTCCGAAAAACTCTTTTGTTTAAGGGTTCCTGACACAAAAGTATAAAACTGTCTCTCATATCAGACTTGTTTAGGTGCTCCTTAGCCCAAGGTCTAATTGGGATCCATAAATGCATTTGTGTTATGACTTACACATTAGTCCCTCCTTGACACTTGCATCCGCTGAGCTACATTCCCATCCCGACACTTGTGTCCATACCTGCTCCCTGCAAGTCATTATAGCCTATTACATCAGGGTAGCTGCCAGAGAAGCACAATCACTACTTAGCCCCTATATGTAAATGTTTGCTGCAAACAGTTTCACTTGCTCAGCTAGTGACACCCATATTAGCTATGACTATAGCACTGTTGAGCACCAAGAGGACATCAGGTCATAGAAATGTCTTATAATTCCCATAGCTCATTTGTTTAATATAAAATTAAAGCTCACTGGCCCTGCATTAAGAGTTTGTGTTACTTTGTTTTGCCTTTGCTCCATCATTATATGACAGTGACTATCCATGAACTTTGCAGTCATTTTAATACAGAGTGAAATTTTAGAAGAGAAATATGATTCCATTTTATAATAGGTCTTTGCTTATTAACCTGAATGACATATTTAATAAATCTTCAGTGTCAAGTAATTTGAAATGTTGTGTATTCATTGTCCAAATATTTGTAGACATTAGTTTTCTGGGAGAATTAAAGAAATAGTAAAATAAGGTGATAACATATATACCAGTTGTACATTTTGAAAGCTACTATGTATCTTCTTTTTAATTTATCATATTCGTTTTAAGTTTATAGTGGCTAAAAAAATTATGCTTTTGCTAAGGGGGAAGAATCTGAAGGGAAGAGGAGAACTAAGCATTTTTATTTTTTAGTCTGGGACAACATGTTTGTGTAAATCCTGTCCTTTCGGCCACATGACAAGCTTCAGGTAACATATCTTTGTCAGGAAACACAGATCATTGAGTGACAAGTCGTTTCAATTTGCATAAAGAGCAGGAAGAATGATCTGAACCCACATGCAAAGCCAAAGTGACAACACAAAGCTCTAACTTGTTCTTTGTGTTTAGACAAACTTAGCTGTCATCTCTCCTTGCAACACCCCAGTGGCTTAAAAATGGCAAAATTATCTGCAATTATTTCCAGCCTGAAGCTAATTTTCTGGATAAGTTAAACAAAAGCTTTGAAAGGAGCCTACAGACGGAAGTCATATGCATGTGTACGATTTATGGTGCAGAATTGCTGATGACGATGGAAATGGGAGCCCTTCAGTGCTGCCATGGAATTCAGAGCCAATCAAAACTAAATTAGGAAACAAAGATTATTAAAAAGTCTTTTGTGCATGTAGTTTGGGCATAATATTATGAGGTGGACATTAAATGTTTCCCTTGGAGACTTTCAGCATCATTAATGCAGCACGCCTTTAATTACAAGCAGAACCATATTACTAAAAAAAAAAGGAGAAAATAAAGTACTCTAAGGTGTAGTTAGCAATGCCCTCATTGTGTTTACTGAAATAATTAAAAGAAAGGGTATAATTTTTCTAAATAAAATGTCAGAATTTGAAATGAAAATGGATTTTCTGTAGGAAATTTACTAATGTGTGCTGCACTCTTGATAGGCATTTATTCAAGTACCTTAATAGGCCTATTAATGATCACTCCATATTGTGCTATTTCAAAATAGACTCCTATTAAGAAAAAGAATCTTTAATTACTGCAAGCATCGTGGATAGAGCATATTTTATTAAGTTCAAATGAAATTTACAAAAGTCCTAGAAAGCCTTTGTGTTTTATGACTTCAAAGAACTCCGGGGAGTGAGTGGTAATGCACAACCACTCAGGGCCATCCATAACTTCAATTCCTGACTTGACGTCGTCTCAGGTTGCCATCTGGTGGCTATCAGGTGGGCTTTGAGAAATTAATTTGATAAACTTGGTTACATTTTCGGTGACAAGGGATTAATATCAATTTTCCCAAAACTGGAAATGACATTGACTTACATAATAATTGAATAGTCTTAAAAATACACTCTGTTCACATGAAACATAATTCAATAAATGAATGAAGTTTTAATGACAGTGACATTTTTCATTTGAACTGATTTATCCCTTAATTATGCCAGAATGGAATTTTTAAAAAACCCTTCATTTCTTTCATTATGAACGTCTCATTATTATTAGTTCATTATTTATTCTTAGAAAAGTTTAATTCATGTTTGTACTGAATTAAGTTCCACAGAGATCAGTCTTTCTGATTTATCACTACATCCAGTGAATCGTTGTTGAGGAGCCTCCAATAGCTCTGTGTTATCTATTGCATCAAGTATAAACTACTCTACCTGCTTTTTAAATCTGAGTTCATGAAGCCTTATTTTCTAATACTTTCCATTAGGACCCATGACATTTCTAGGGGACTTAGGGCTGGCAATCTGATTGGAAGGGTACTACTGGATTTGGGTTGAAGCTGCATTGGCATAACATGCATGTTTTATGGGGGTGGTCTGAGATGGAACTGATAAAAATTAAGGCAGGGGTAACAGAACCTTAAACTATCTCACGTCATTTATTGTTCTGAGATAGTATTTCCTATATGCACAAGTGCTTTCGTCTCTGTAGAGCTAATGCTTCACAGGTATAATTCCAGACAGCTGTGTACAAAGTGAAATGAACAATGGGTATAGAACTTGTAAAACCGACTGGCAGTAGTGAGA